CCGTTTTGTGAATTATCTCAGGACGTCTCTAGGTGATGCATTGTCATTTGCTGTCATTTGAGTTTTCTCTTCACTTATCCGAAGGAATTTAAAAAGCAGTGTACATCACCAGTGGTGGTGTTTTCAGTTTTTCAGGGTAGTTTTCCTTTTGATTCTACTCTATTGAAAGTCTGCCTCCATATTAACAACATATCCCGAGTACCAAGCCGGTCTGGGTCAGCCTGCCTCTGTTCTTTTGCCTTTGAATCTGACTTTTCTAATTAGTTTTTTATGAGTTCTTTTTTCTCCCGTGGTGCCATTTTGAGACGCAGCAGTCATTCCCTGTAATCCAATTCTCTCTCTGCAGCCATGTGAGCAATACCCCCATTCCTATTTATGCAAGTATTTAATAAGCACATGACCATTCTCATCTGTCTTCATTGAGGCCAAAGCAGAATTATATTGGAGATGAGCTTTGGAAAGAAAGGTGTTTTCATTACTGACCTCTAATGAGCCCACAGAGAAACAAAGGAAATGGTGCAAATTACAACATGAAAATTGACTTTGGGAAAGCATTATTTATTCGTTTTTTTTACACCATAAATTAGGGCTTTATGCCTGGTCAGTCGCCAGGACTGACCTGCTCTGTTGGCCTGTACCCACCAACCTGCTAACCAAATTCATAAACAAATGCAAAAATACAAAATTGTATCTCAATTGTTTAATCTGTACATAAATTGAAGTTTATCTAATGACACATTTGACTTGCTGAGCCCAATGATTTCCTGGAGTAACTCTAGGACTCCAGGAAGTCACTGAAATATTCCCACACATATTTAACACATAATATTCCCCATAAAACCACAACTTCCTGGTAATGAGTATATTTCCTGAAATGTTGAACTATTCCTTTAATGTAGCTACAGAACATATATGGCCTGCAGAGACAACTGCTTTATCTGTCAAGAAACCTTGCAAAGCCTCAGTCCAGTGCATGCTGATCTTCACTGTCAAGACGAAAGCCTGAATAGTAGCTGCACACACATTCAGTTTGCTGCTTTTCATTTCTTATAAACATCCCACAGCTAATTTAAGCAAATGGGGATATTAGGAGAATTTATATGAAGCTGTATTGTTGAAATGAGCTTGTAGAAGGTGCAATAATACCCTGACCCTCAGCTGACCCCCCCCCCCCCCCCCCCCCCCCCCCCCTTTTGCTTAAATTCCCTGAAGACAGTTCCTCATCAATGCCCAGTTGCATCAATTCTGCCTAAGAGCAGCAGCCTGGTTTTGTATAAAAAGTAGTTTTCTTTCATTTATTTACATCATTTGCTTCTTTAGATCACTTTGTTTGTACGGTAGGCAGTAAAGAAGGTAAGGGGTGAAGTGTTTGTAGGACACAGAAGTGATTTGCTGGATCTCCCACAGCTCATGTATTTGAGGTATTTGAATGAGCGAAAGAAGATTCATGCAGCCAAGGCTTTATTAATGTGTATGATTAGTATCATACATTTACATAAGGCCGTTTGCTTTGTCTATTTAAAGCCAACTGAAGTCAAAGTGAAACTGTTACATACAGCTGAACGATAGTAGTATAATGGTTACTGTAGAGAGAAAAAAAGGTCACCAGGCAAACTGAGATACACCCTTTTTAAAAGGTCTGGATTGTTGGGGCAAATTTTCTGTGTTTTGTGCGTGTGTACGTTAGAGGATGACATGAGAGTGGATTCTCACTGTCCCATCCTGCTCCCACAAAAATGAACCTGTCCCATCCCAATCCCTAAACATTAATTCTGTTCCGATATTAAAAAAAAATAAAATAAAAATTCAGAAAATAGTGTTTAATCATATCAGAACTGCATATGTATGTATAAAAGTCCCTGGACTCAAGTGCCCTCTACAGGCTGGTGTCAAAATGGTTAAAGCTAAACACATTAAAGCATTCAGAAGTATTCAGACCGCCTTCACTGTTTCAATCTTGTTGTGTTGCAGCCTTATATTAGTGAAGGTGGTGTGAATACTAAGTTGAAACTTTTTTGGATTAACAAACCCTTAAGTGCATGTCGGAGTGGAGCATATTAGAAAACTGTCAGCTGCCAATAATGTGACCTGATTGTTGATGGGGAGTTGTGGGTGCTTGGGTGAAATTAGAGACCGAACAGAAGTGGTGATAATAAGGAGCTCAACCTCGCAGCATGTAAGCTATTACTACAGTAGTAGTGTGGTTATGCTGTACCGATACAAGTTTTAAAGAGAAATCATGTAAATTGTACTCTGATGTTTTTAAGCAAGTAGATTTACATGCTGCATTGCCACACTCCGGCATAGGAAGCTAAAATATTTCTTATTCCCCAAACACATCACACACCGTATCCCCATTTTCTGGAACATGATATATATGATATGGTACACGTGGCAACATATCCATGACTCCAGCATGTGCCCATCTAAGTTATACAAATCCATCTTTTTTTTATAGTCATCCTGTCTGCAAGGCAGCAGTTAATGTCTAATGTCATTAGTCTGATGATTAAATGATTGATTAATGAAAAGCAGTCAGAATTGTGATGGTGGTGATGGTCCAGTTCAGCTAACAGCACATTGCAGAGTGTGCAGCTGTGTCTGGAAAGCTCCACCAACGTTTGATCTGGATGTAGTGACAATACAGCTGCATGTGTTTCACTGTAGCAGCAGAGCAAGCAAGGTAATTGTTTTCGTTGGGACTCCGTCCTGGTATGCCAAACACATACACTGTGACATAGCTGTGACCTGAAGTGTAAGCTTTTATCAGCGAGCAGCACAGGACGGTAGGATCGATGTATGTTAGAAGTGCTGCTGAAGGTTACTAGAGCAAAACATCGCTCAGGTGTTGGACATATTCTCATTTCTAAAACTGTGTCTTCACACGTAAGCGCATTTTACAGAACATTACATCTGACATGGTTTTGATGAATTAAAAGGACGTTTTGTGCAGACCACTTGTTTGCTGTCTCACTTGAAATCAAAAGATAGGCGTTGGTTTGATCTCTGTGTGGCCAGTAGTGGAAGAGGTCTGGGACTTGTTTATCCTAGCTTAGCAACACTAGAGACAAGGGGACATGGCAACAAACAATCAATCCGCTATGGTAAATGTAAATCCAATATTCACAGTCTCTCTCACATCTCCTGAGGGAAAAATATACTCTTACCTAATAGGGGTGGGAATCTCTTGGCACCTCATGATTCGATTGGATTGCGATTCCTAATTACTAAGCATTTAATTTGCACATTAAAATCCAAAAGAACATTGGAAGTCGGAATCGCACTACCCCGCCTTCTTGATCCAAGATGGCTGTCGGGGTATCAACAGTTAGTGAAAGTTCTAGTTTATACTAGTGATGGGCAAATGAAGTTTTTGTGAAGCACTGAACCACCTGAGCCAATTGTTTTTCGAAAATGGGTTCATTACTCGAAGCTTCAGTTACAGTGACCTCTCCTGGTGAAGTTCAAGGCTGCAGGCAAATTAGAAAGGCTAGCTGGTGGACGCACACACATTAAGACTGAACATCATGTTCAAATAAAGATTGATGAATGCCTGTGTTTTGTTATTTTAGAGAGAGTGCTGGGAAATATGGCACAGGTTGGATGTGCTTGTGTAACTGTGACAGGGGGTGAATGTGTTAGATGGGGTGCACAACAGTTGCAGTAAATTACAGAGACATGGTGCCCCTATATCCGGCACATCGCTGCTGCTGAGAACCGCTTCTAAAAATTTACCTCAGTTATTAATGTCAATGCGGAACAAATGATTTTCACCCGCACACTGTGTGAGCACGGTATAACACACTTTGCTAGCTTCCTCTCCTCATTCATCATCAAAGGACATCTAGTTACGTGACAGCTGCTGTTCTAAGAGCAGCGAAGTTAAGTCAGGTCTTTAAGGAGTGCAGTGTGTGTTCGTAGCGAGTGAGCGGGGGTGAGAGAGAGAGAGAGAGAGAGAGAGCGGTAGAAAGTGATGGAGAAAGTGAGCAAGCTTGTTGTCAGTCTGGAAGTAAATATACAGTGCAGGTCACAGCGTGTCCGTTGATAAAACGGATGTCTGTCGTGTCCCCAACTGCTGGATACTAGGCAATTTAGCGCTAGCTAACTTCTCCCTCTGCTTCACACTCAGGTCTGAAAGCTGAGCAGGACTACAGGTGGGCAGAGTCACATGACCACACACGTGGTAGTATGTTTTTAAGGGGGAAGTGCATGAACCTTTTTATATACAGTCTATGGCATGAACACACACAGCAGGGGAAATATTAATAGGATTAAAAAACCCACATGGTAAAATTAGGTCGGTTAGAGGCTCTGGATTTCGGTTTCGATTACTTTTCAATTAATTGTCCAGCCCTAATCACCATATTGCTAAAATGATCAAATCACCAGAGCGTGACAGCTGACTACCAGTACTGTTCAGTACAAGGTCATGGTTCGAGGTAAACCTCGAATTAACTGTAGCTCAGCAGAGGACATTTGTTTGTGTGCATGTAAAAATGTGTATGTGTGCAAGACTTGGTTGTCAAAACAGACAGTTGTTGCACAGATAGCCAGCTTTCAGCAGCCTTTCTATCTGGGCCAGAATTCTGTCAGGCTATTGTCAGGTTGTTTCACCCACAGCACAGAAACCAAAAACATCATTCCCCTTTCCCGGATCAAATGCACTGTTGCATTATACTTTTGTTTTTGCTGGGACTTTTCTGCTGCTGACAATTTCTAGTTCAGTGGAGGTGAAAGGAATCTGGTTTATCACATCTGAACTCAGCAGCAACATGTCTTTCCAGAAACATCGTCCTGGTTACTCAGGATAACCCAAATCTACATTCTGTAGAAACTAGTGAAACTTGGCTCGGGTTGAAGTTACATTTGGATGGATTACTATTTACACTGTTTTTGTTTAGCTTCTGTTAGCAAAGAGTTCAAGATATTTTAATAAAGAAACAAAGCCCGTACCAAGTTTACCTTTAATCACTTCTCTTTTTCTGTCTGCCTCTCTCTAGTCACTGATGTGGAATTGAAGCGGCTGAAAGATGCCTTCAAGAGAACCAGCGGCCTCACCTATTACATGACCCAGCAGTGCTTCTACAGGGAAGTGCTGGGAGATGGAGTTCCCCATAAAGTTGCAGAGGTAAGCCACATTCATGTCACACACCATGTTCCCTTGAACATGACTATTCCTCTAAAGAGATAGTTACAGTGAGTGAAATGCTGAATGCAGGTAGCCACCAATAAAGGTTTGTTCAGTTCTAGTAGAGCCTCCAGTGTCTAGTGGTGCAACGCATCGGAATTGATCTGTGCGTAACCTACGGCGTAGCTACACGCATAGACACGCAGGACTACAAATCACGCTTAACCTGTAAAGAATTGATAATACCTCTTTGTAACTGCAGTCTTCCTCTGACTGTCTTACCGAGCACAGCGTCACTGTGGATTAAAGGTCCCATGATAAGGCATCATTATTTCCTTAATGTTGTGCATTTCCTGTTGAAAGAGCAGGATGGGGCCAGACATCAGACAGCGAGGGATCATTCTTAACTGTAAACCATTCAGTTATGGAAAATGGCAGTAGGAAGAGCTCACAATGCCTTGTGCTGAATCTAGGTTCTTGTAAACTGGTGGTAATTGCAATTAAAATTGTTGCCCAGAACTACTTAAAACTAACTTCAGCTTAGTGCAGACCCTATTGGGTAAAACAATATGACACTATGTAATATCTGCATTTCCAGCTCTGTACCTCTCTCGTTCCCTCGCACATCCCCCTCTGATTGTAACTGACTGACCTGTTTACCTTTTCCCAGCTTGCTAATCTTATGTTGCACAGTTGAGAGCTGAATTTTTTTTTTTTTTTCTTTTTTCCCCTCTGGCTGTTGAAGTTGGCAGAATCAAAAACCTGAATAAAAGGTTTTGCTTCTGAATAAGCAAAACCTTTTTTTTTTGAGCTATGTGATTTTGTACTGCACATTCTACTGTACAGTTTGACGATTTCAAGAGTTTCAGTTTTGCACTAACCGTTGCTTACCCTGGTTAAAATGACAAATATCATGTCAGCTGTTACTAATTAATGTTAATTCTGTGAGTAACTTGACAACAGGCCAAAATGAAGCTTGTCTGTTTGTGTGCCTGTGCCAGGGATGAGGATCGTTAATTTTTATTGATATTGATAACATTAATGAGACTGCTTAAGGATCAGCATCTTTATCGATACCACTATCGATACTTTACTATTTTTTGGTGACAGTTATTTGGTAAGACCAGACCCAACGAGCACGAGGTAGGCCGGCACGATATGAGGAACATATTCAATGTGCGATAACATTGTTAAATATTGAGAGGACATATCACTTGCAATAAATAAATAAATACTGAAGTGTGCATATTAACTGCCTAGTTGTTTTAAAATTAATTATTATTATAGGATTATAACTGAGTGACGTTCAGAAAGAATGAAGAACTCAGACATCAGTCAGCATCTTCCTCTTCCTCCTCCTCTCTGCTGTTATTCACTGCCTGCAGGTAACGTTACCTGGTCGAAGGAGGAGTTTTTAACAGTGTGCCAGATTTTAAGTCCAGGCTGTGCTCCAGACAGACAGCTTTGTATTTAGCTTGTTTTAAACATTTGGCTAATGGCTAAGCTAACATTAGCTTTGCTTGTAGACTGCTTGACAGACTGAGGACAGAGCAGTTTAAATGAATCCTTTCTTCTATCCTTGTTTACCTTACAGACAGGTGTATTGATAACATATTGTATTTTTACTCACAAGGTTTTATTGCACGTACATACAGTAACGAGCGTAGCCATCGGCAGCTCGGGTAGTTTGGAGCTAATTTAACTTCCCCGTCTCCACCGAGACGGAGCGGTGTGTCTCTCCGCTGGCCGCTGTGTGTGTGTAGGAGCTGACAGAGAGCAGCAGAGGCTACAGCCTGACGATAAACAGTCCCGGGCCCGTTTAATACCGTGTTCCGGTGCCATCAATAAATAAATATTAGTTGTCTTTTTCATCGCGTTTCAAGTCAAACCAGATTTGACGCTCGAGACATAACGTTACATTATAGGTCAATAGTAGTATGGATAAGCTCGGACCTTATTCATTTTTGGGTCTTGAGAAAATTTGCATCCGGGTTCTTTTAGAACCGGGTATTGATCCCCATCCCTAACCTGTACTCGGCCAACAATCTTTTATTAAGCAGGAACCTCCACTCTGTAACACAGCTGTTCAACCAGTGGACTGTTTCTGTTCCAACAAATCCCAACAGAGTGATGCATCTTCTCTATAGCTGATCGCATCATGTCAGTTTCATAAGTGCATTTTCCATTTCCTTTCATTTGTCATATCCATAATTTAAGCTTATCAGTTTAATAGTTTTGAACCAGGGGCTCCAGTATCTGGATCAAGAAGCTTGTGATAAAAGGTGTGTCAGATTAAGTAGCTACAGCTGTTATTTCAGTGCGTCACATACATGATTGATTTATTTTAAGTAAAGATTAAAGCATCAGACCGGACTCTGTATAGGCAGATACCCAATATTCAAGGCCTCTGTTCAAGATCCAGTCCAAAACATCCTTGGTTGGTAGATGATGTGTAAACAGTTGCCTCACTCATTAATTCTCTGGACTTTGCTGTGTTATTTAGCAACCAGTGCTTCTTACAGTGCTCAGGTTTTCAGGATATGTTGACAACACATGCATCGTGTGTGTGTGTGTGTGTGTGTGTGTGTGTATGAGAATGGAAGTGCTTGGTCCGTTAAGGCAGAAAAGGGCTACATGCAGTCCATTTACCTTGATTGAACACAACATCGCGTGTCTTCCCTCCCTTCTCTCTCTGCATCTCCTCCTCCTCCTCCTCCTCCTTCTCCTTTGTCACCATGGCAGCAGTTACTGCGGTGACAGCAGTCTAGATCTAAGGTTACTGCTGGTCCCACATTGTGACAGTTCAAAGAAAGCCCCAGCCTAATCACTCAGTCAGGACACCGACATGATGCTTTTAATGTGCAGAAATCTCAGTCACACGTCTTTAGTTTAAACACGTTCTTCTTTTATTTGGTTGTGCTCATGATGGTATTCTTCTTCTGTTTCAAACTGGAGACTGCTCAGGTTTGTCTGGGATGCCATGTGTTTTAAAATGACTGTAAACAGTTGGGATCTACAAAAGGTGTTTTACCTTTGAAGGATGTCTTGTTAGTTAATAGAGCTCAGGACCACCTCATATTTTCATGTGTGTTTTGGTCATATAGTTTCCATTATGCAAAAAAACAAAAAGAGACATGTCATTGGAAACCTTGTTACCTGAAAAACAAAAGCACGCTGCTTTAATTCAGCTCTTCCCATCATCCTCTCATTCTGTTCTTCTGAAGAAATGCTTGCATGCAACCATATAGTTGTTTTGTCACTTCTTATCACTTAATAATAATAATACAGAATACAATTGTGCACAGCACAACTGATCTTACAGACCTTCATGAGGCAGAGCTGCAAGTAGGTGTTACCTGAATTGGTGGTGCAACAGTTGCAAACACTACAAAATGATGCAATATGGTGATGAGGAAATACATGGACAGACAGGAATATTGTCCATAAGTAGATCCTCTTCACCACTAACTAAAAAACTAAACAACAGTTGCTAAACAACAGTACAAAGTAAACAGACAAAGTTGCAACAAAATGTAACCATTGTGAGCTGCTCTGAACTGGAGTTCAGGGTTAGGAGGGTAGGGCCATTGTGTTGGAAACAGAGTTGCACAAATGTTGTTGAACCTAAACCACAAAGCCACACCCCGTGTTTTCAAGACAGCCGCTCATCCCAGAGCCCACCAGTGCTTGGCCCAGGATGTACCTCCAATGAGACAAAAAGATCTCCTGACACAATTCCAAAAACAGACCTTGTGTCTGGATTCAGGCCACTGACAGGTCCAATGCTGAGCTCAGGGCTCGCTGAATGGTTTGATGAAAATGAATCACATGCTATGGCCTTCAGTCACCTGATCTCATGCCAAACGAAACACCTAAAGGAGATTTTGGTGTTAAACAGAATTCTCCACCACCATCAAAAAAAGAGAGTATCTTTTGGAAGAATGCTGATCATCCTTCCAGTAGAGTTCAGCCAACTATGACAAGTGGACCAACACCTAACCAAGACACTTAATGTTGATGTCACTTTAATTTGTCACGCATTGGTACAGTATATACACAAACTGGGCAGCCTGCTGCATGAAAGCAAACTCTTGGTAAGAGGTTAGACAGAGGTGTTTGGTTTTCACCATAGAAAAGCAGGACTATCCATCTTGTTTACTTTGCCTGTCTCTAGCAGGGTTAAGCTATTTAAGAATACCGGCTGACCTTTATGCAACTTGACATCGAAGGAATCAAATTTGTGCCAGTTTAGTCAAACAGAACTTAGAGAGAATAGATCTAACTGAAACAAAAATAGAAGGCAGCATGTGTAATGTCTGAAGTTCATTTTATGTAAACACGATGGAATACTTGATGCTTTAAAATTGCTTCATAATTTGATCTCTTCTAAGTGTAACTGTATGGGCGATGGCTGTAAATGTCCTCAAAGCATTGAGCGTGAACACTAGCAGCAAGATATGACTCATTTTACTTCCTTAAGGTGTTTCCTCTGAATTTCTGTGTGAATACTGCAATCAGTTTAAATAAATAAACAAATAATAATAATAATAAACTTGATTTGTTTAGCAACTTTTTATACAAGAAATGCAGCTCAAAGCCCTACAACAAATGACATGCACCAAGTGCTTCACATAAAAGAGACACAATGAACATAGAAAAGGGATTTAAAGCCATAATTAATGTAAAATAAGATGGAGGATAAAACCCACATAATAATAATAATAAAAATAAGGAATGTATAATATAAAATGGAAAATAAAACCCACTCTGTTGTCATACATATTGTTACATTTTAATAAATAGATCCATATATGTATTCACAGTTAAAATTTGTTGATACTGATTCCTGCCTATTAACAATGAAGAAGTTTTAGCAGTTAGAGTATTTTATTTTTTAACCATTGGAAAGGTAGTTTCAGTAATAGAATACAGAAGACGAGTCACCTCTCCAGGGCTCACATGCAAATAAGACAACATGGGTTTGCACACACTGCTCCCTAACCTTCCCCTTTTGTGCAGCTTTGCATAATGACAACAGCGCCCCCTAGCATGGACCTCTGACTCCCAAGAAAGATCTGAGCTGATCTGGATTTTTGAAGGCTGTAGAAATCATGCAGTACAACAAGCCCTGACCCTGGAAAAAACTCCCAAAATGATTTGAATCATACACATACACGGTAGTCTTGTCCTGTATTTTACCTGAAAGAAATTCATTAGTTTTACTGTGTTTTAGTATACAGCACAAGCTGCATTTAGGAATGATGATATGGAATATCATACTAATACAGTAAACTAACTTTTCAATAACATGAAATATTACACATGTAGTTAAAATGCCTTACCTTTAGGGTAAGAGAAAGGAGCAGATTTACACTCATTTCAGTCTATCAGAAGAAATCAGCGTTCACAATAAATAACAGAATTTAACTCCAGCCCTTCACATAAGGGAAAATCAACAGCCGGTTTCTGAATTTAGTCTCTATCTGAAGTTGCTACAGACTTCGTGTCTCATGTACAGTGACTGGAATACTTCATACACACAAACCACATAATAACCTAACCTATAAAGAATAATTTGGTAAAAGCGATTTAGAAGCTGGTAGTGGGTTAGTTTGTCTTTGCGTCTTTCTCTCTCTCACTCCTTCTATTCTGAGGTTCAATCTTTGAATCTCAAGAATGTCTTTGTCTGTCTCTCCTCATCAGAGGGATGAGAGGAGGAGGGGTCAGCGGGCCCACCGCCACACATGGGGATGTGAGATTTGACATTCTGACTTACGCTTTTGTCTTCTTGTAAGCTCTGAATAATTCATTTGTTTGCATATTCACCTTTCTGTTTTGTTAGCTGTCTAAATGCCATTTGAACACATGGAGTGCGGACAGAATGAGGCTAGTAAACACATCAAGTAACATGAGGCCTTTTTTAATTTTTTCTTTTTAAGGTAAGGAGAACAAGAAATTAGTTCAAAATATTCTTTTAAATCTGCCTCAGCATATGTAATTTTCTACAGGGACAATGTGAACCTGTCATATAGGTTTGTTTCTTACCCTCACTACCCTTCATAACTTAGATACAGGAAACAAGTGTGGCCGGTTTGGAGATGAGCAGGATGAGCATTTTCTCTGGCCTGAGCCGGCGCATCTTGGACTGTCACTGAAGCAAACTCATCGTAAGAGACAAGACTGGTTCCCACTGAGATTCTTCAGAATACAGATATTTGAGGCATCCTGGTTGCTAGTGGTCTAAGATCCATACCAACTGTCAGCAACATCCCCCGCTCAAGACCGGCGAAGGAACTTTGTTGCATCTCATCCCCTTCTTTCTCTCCCCATCTCTTGTATTTGGTTCTTCACTAAATGCTGCTGAATAACCGCTTAAATACACCAAAACTAATTTTTTTTTAAAAAGATACATTTTCAGTAACATTTGTCACTGATACAAGAAATCTGAGCACCCGCTGTCTGAGTAGGCAAATGTTTCTTTGTGTGTGGGTTGAGAGGAGACTGAAAGAGATTATGCTTGAACCAAAACATCATTTTTGAACACGCGTGTGTACCCACAAACAAAGTAATCTTGTAATGCAACACCCCGTGTCATAGCTCATCTGCCAGTTTGCCCACTGTTCTGCTATCAAAATGTAAATTGTGTTACAGAGTTTCAACGGTATGAGATTTTCTGGATAACTGTCTTAGAAAATTTCAATGTATAAGATATTATTATTATTACCATTGTTATTGATAATAAAAACAGTTAATTATCTTTTAAAGGAATAGAAATAGAAGGGTTTTTCTGTTTGAACAAATGCATTATTATAATTTCATAAAGTATCATGTCCTGACAAAACCTTTTTTTAATGGAAGTATGTCTAAAAAAGTCTTGCTTTGAAATAATTGAAAGATGCGCAGGTGAAATTTTCTGTCCTCGTGCATTTTTTTATACCATAAATAAGCAAATGTACATAGTATGTACATGTTAATATTCATACCCTGGTATACCTTGCAACCCTGTTTGAGAAATAGGACGTCCTCACTACAGAATGGGCTTCACATCATTTAAACTTCTGCACAAGGGTTGCCTTAAATGCATGGCTGCTTTACTGGGTTGTAGCACATTTCACTTTAAAGATGTTGTATCAACTCCTTTTATTGTCTGTGAAACCGTTTCAATAATTTGGAAACGGGAAAATGCTGTAATTAGACTCACTGGTGACAGTTTCCAGAGTTGCCCTGTTGTCAGCTGTGTAGTGAATGTCTCCTGCTAACTCGCTGATCATGCTGCGCACACGTGTGAACACAAGGTGATTCTTTTTTTCACGTTGTCCTGTGTGTTTTACGTCGTTTCAGGTGATCTACACCTCATTTGGAGGCTCGTCCAAAGGGCTGCACTTCAACAATCTGATTGTGGGTCTGGTGCTTCTGACCAGAGGACGCGATGAGGAGAAGGCCAAGTGTGAGTTGTTTCGGCCGGGTTAACAGAGAACCTGTGTTGATGCTGTTCTGTTTGTTTCATGTTCTCTTAAATGTTTAATCTGTCACAGTGTGTAGATGTTTCCAACCAGAGTCATTGAAATGTCATGGAAAAAAGTATCTGACTTGATCTAACTATGCTGCCATGACATAGATTTGAAACCACATATATGCTAATCAAAAATGCCAGCTGATGTTTATACACCTACAACAGAAGCTCCGGCTACTATGTTAAGTAAACAGAGATGTTTGCATGTCAACATAAAACAAGCAAGTTACAGTAACTGGTTTAGTGCCAGGTCAGAGTCATTTCTTGCTTGTTTCTGACTTCTGAGTGGCACATGAAGGGCAAATAGAGGGTAAAAATGATTAGATAGATCAGTTCACCCTGCTGCACCACTCTGTTTGACCCAGGTTTTAAACATGACTGTCTGAGCTGGCACACAGCCGTCTAATTCATCATTGCTCTGTCCGCCAGGAGCAGGCAGTGCAGAAGGGAGTTTGGAGTCTTTTAAGTTCCATGTGATGCATATGGAAACAGACTAATTATCAAATTCTTAAAGCAGGGGCATGAGAAAATCCCATTTCATTAGTCACACTGGCGGATTCTAAAAAATTCACCCAGTTACTTCACTTCACTTCAAGGTGCACTGATGTTAGATCTCCCTCCCTGTCTCATTAAAGTTTAAAATGTATGCGTGTGTTAATAAGTCAAATGTCCAAGAACTGTTAACCATTTAAGCCATGTTTCATTTACTGTGGTTCAAAAGCCAGTAGAGTTACGACGTATTTCCCCCCACTTTAAAATTCCCAAGGTTTTCTTCAAAAGATGCCCTCTCTGTTCCTCAATATAAAAACAGAGTCTCCTGGATCATTTTATGATACTATATCTTTATGTTTTTAAAAATTTTAGATGTTTGTTCTGAGATATCATCTTTGGGGAGAAACAGCAGGTCAACAGCAAACCACATAGATGCCACATAGATTCATTTGAGTTGCTGGTCAGCACTCACGTTTTTGGCTCCTATTCAAATTATGAAAGTTTAGAGTGTATAAGGTCTTAGAACTTAATCATAGCGTTCTTAGTGGAGTTTAAGAAGTCATGACGGTATTAGAGTGTTTATTCATGTCCACATTTCTTTTCTGCTGTTTTTTTAGTCTCTCTCTCACACTCGCTGTCTCTTCTGTCTTCCTTATCTGATAGTTGTGGTTGATGTGTTGTAGGCAGTCCAATCCATCAGGACATTATTGACAGTGGTAGCTTCTGTCATCCTTGAAGCGTCTACGTGCAAAGAGGCCTGCCTTCCTGTGATAAGGCTGAACTCTCTTCTGAAACTGTGTGTGTGTGTGTGTGTGTGTGCGCCCACAGACCTCTTCAGCCTGTTTGCCAGTGATCTGGGCGGCTATGCTGCAAGGGAAGACATAGAAGCTGTTCTGCAGGTCCTTGATGGGGAAGTCCCAGCCTGCCTCAAGAAGTGCTTCACTGAGGTCAGCGGACACAATAGCCTGTCTGTCACCACATATAAACATTTCCAGCCACACTAGTCAAATGTTTCTGTTAAGTCATTTTGGACTTGTGGTGATAATAATACAAAGTGAGCTGCAGACTGATAACTTCATCAACCATGTTCTGTCCTTGGCTTGTGTTGCGTTTGTTTTCATCATTAAAGAGGTGTTTGTTATGAGTTTTCCACGTGGAAATAAAAGTGATAAAACGGTAGCATCCTATGTGTGTATATATACATTATGTGTGCTCATTATTTCATCTCTGATCCCATCAAAATAAATCATCATCATAAAACCCGTCAAGTGAGCATTTAGACAGGAACACGTAGGCAGAGTTACTCACAGGTACGGACCGGCTTTCTGCTTTTTAACAGCCTCATTGTGTGTTGTGACAGGGTGACAAAGTTAACTATGAGCGCTTCAGGAACTGGCTCCTACAGAACAAGGAGGCCTTCACTTTGTCCAGATGGCTTCTGTCTGGAGGAGTGTGTGTCACGCTCACCGATGACAGCGACACGCCCACCTTCTACCAGACCTTGGCTGGCGTCACACACTGTGAGTCCTAAAAAACAAATCTTCATTGTATTTGCATACACTGCCTGTCCACACAAGCAAATGTGTTTCCTTGTTAATGTTTATAGAATTTTAGTTGGTGGCCATTAGGCTTGTCCGGTATCATGGTACGGTATACCAGGTCTTTAGAAATCCGGACAGTATGACTTTCAGTACCATCAAAATACAGACGCTCCTCTTTCGTTTAAACTGTACAGAGATGCTGATTGAGCTCATGTATTGTAGTGTACGTAGGCGGGCAACACAGAATGACACCGCCTGACGTCATCGACAACGCAATGACCCCCTTCACTTTTCCAGCAGCTGGTAAACAACACACACACAGGAGCTGGAGCTGCAACCTTTATTCACTGACAGATTGTAACCTACACTGTACATTTTCGCTTACATCTTTTCTTCTGCTCCACTGCATTCACCTGCGACTCTTTGCGAGTGGTGAGAGAACGCGGCAGGGCCAGTAAACACGAAAAATAACTCTGCCAACACAGACGAAACTGTGTGCACACCATGTAAAGTGTCATCGGGTCCTCGGGCAAGAATCTCTGGACGAAGGCTCTTATTTATTATTCTGTGGGCCACAAGTATTTAAACCTAGCAGGACGTAAGCTATTGCATTTTAGAGAAACTATATTGTAGGCTTAACAGTGTTATACATGTTACAGTGACAGCAGCTCAGCTATGTTTGTTTATTATATACGTGTACATATCATATACCGAAAAAAGTAGATACCGCGCCTGCCTAGTAGCCATTTAGTCTTTCGTTAAATGTTTTTATGCTATCCCATAAACTCCTAAATAAAAGCCAGTTTTCAGATAATGGCCATTTGGGGTAAAAGAAAAGGAATAATATTTCTTTACTTATTACTGGGTGATAAAGGCTTACTAGTGACTTGTTACTCGTTATGTTACTAAATTACTTTCACTACCACCCCCTGACCTGCAGGGCAGTCAGGCATTCACATCAAGCACGGTGCGTTCAGTAATGCAGTAATGAAGCGTTACTTGGATTAGTAACTGTAATAATATTACTGTATTGGAAATATTCACAGTTTATCTGAAGCTTATATGAGGCTTCAGGCATCAAAGTTTGACAAATCAAGTCTTTATCGTACAAAACTCACTCTTTCTGTCAGTATCCTTCCACTGTAGCTCAACTCTCTGTGGAAACACAAAGAAGGGACTGGTGAAGCCTCATATTTGCTTCACATGAACTTTGGAATCCATTTTGGCACAAAACAAGGACTGGATTTTTTCCCCCATCGCTTCCATCAGAACATTAGGAAGGGGTCTTTAAATGGTCAGTATGAACAGGAGGGATGGTTACAGCAAGCAAAACCTGTTTCAATGTTCAAACAGGCACCTGAATATTTAAGACAACTGAGAATAATTGTGCACATGTTCTTTAATACTGATCGACATAAGACTGCAGTCAATTAGTGAATTATCTACACATTAAAAGCCTACGATGAAAAAGAGGAATTATGCCCTTTAAACTTCTGGAAGGCAGTTTTATTGTAAACATCTGTGCAGGAAATGTTGTTTCATTGACAACATCGATCAAAAACAGTATTTCTGTTAAAAAGATCAACTAAAAGCAGCAGAGCAGTAAGTTTGAAATGACTGTCGTTCTACTGTGGAAATGGACATTTGGCTGAAATTATTATTTCTAGATATTTGTTTACATTGTTGGCCCTAGATTCAGTTACTTGAGTTGAAAATACCTACATTTGGACTTTTCAGGCATGTGGAAGTGTGTGCGTTTATACTGCCATGTCTTTGTGATGTGAAGCAGATAGTTCCCCTGCTACACCTTCCTCTGCCTCCATTATAGAGAACAGATGAAATGCCACCGACGACTCAACAGTTGTTAAAGCTCGGATGAAGCCGTTGCATTTTTTATACACTTGTGTTTTCCCTGTACAAGTGACAGTGAGTGTCCTGGGAAATGACTGACAGGCTCGACTTGTCACCCTCATTCATTCACTCAATTTTCCTTTTTCATTATTCCATCTCTCCTTCACCAAGCCAGGCCTCTCCTCCCTCCTGCTGCCATCTAGATCCATTTCCTCTCTGCCCTGCGCCATGCGGACTGCACTAGTTAAAGTGATCATAGAGGCTTGATAGCTGTGATATCCATATTTCTTTTATTTGAAGTACTGACCGCTTCATCTGCCAAGGTTGACTTCAGTTATTTGAGTGTGTTGTCTTATTCGTGCCTGTTAGTGATTATGTAGTGAAAAGGCTAGAAGCACTGAATGGTATTCAGCTGCTCAACAAGTTAATTGACCTGAAGATCAATTATAAATATATATTTTTTCTTCTATTAAAATGAGGAACAAAGGTGCACTTGTTGAATTGGACAGCCTGTTTTAAAGCTTTTCTGAAGTAATTTTGCCCTATTAGGAGATAATACACTGGCACTTAAAAAGTAGTATAGTAGATTTATTATTATTTTTAGGTGTGATTTGGTTTATTAAAAGCCTACACAAAATCTTCTACAAGTTTAGACATTGCACACCTGGCTATACACCATCCCCACTAAAATCTGAACAGCCCACACTGCCTACATTAATTCAGCCTCACTGCTTAAATTCTTTTGTAATGTAATACTGTATGCATCGAATGTCTAGTCACTAATTGTGTTTACTTATGCACTGATCACATAGTTACTGATTTAAATCATAATTTAGCCTGTTTTATTCTATTTAGCTAAAGTTATTGCATTGAGATATAACATTTCAGAACGTCAGCTTCTTTAGTTCAATTTAGAAAGAGTTTTGTGGGACTGGGGTTTGCATGCCTATCAGAAGGTATCGCAAAGATTTAGTTGGGGATGCACCAATTCAGTACGCCGGATTGGCATCAGTGCTGATACGGATTCTTATTTTTGGGTCAATTTCATTATAACATTCAGTGTTAGCTCCGTCAGTTACAGTCAGTCAGGCAGGGCGGGCTGCTGATTTAACTTTAAGAGCGACAGATATCCCTGACCTCATGTTACCTTATGTCAGAATTTACAGATATCAGATTTACACATTAAGGTATACTGATTTAAAAAAATTTTAAAAAGACATTACTGTTATCAGATCGGTTCTTGGTTTTGGCAAATACCCTTAGCTGAGGTATCAAAATTGATATCAGGAGAGAAAGGTCTTCTCAACCGTACCAAAACTCAGGTATTGTAACTGTACCAGTAGAAACGTTTCAAACACTACCCAGCCCCAGCAATAACATGTTTTTAGATGACCCATTAGGCAACCTTAGGGATTTTGGTTTTCAGGATCTCAATTCAGAGATTATATTTATAAAATGTGCCTTCCTCTTTTTGTTTGACTGCAGTATGTATGTAAGAAATTTAGAGTTGTAAGTCCAAAAGAAGTTGTGTTGTGCTATATGTCAATATTTATGTCTTCATGGGACCAGTCATCAAAGAAATTCTTCAGTTTTTCTGGGCCGTACATATTTTAAAGAGAGTACATGGAAAAACATGCAGTGATACAGTTCTTAAAAGTTGCAGGGTAAGTAAATTTAGCCAGGCTTTATTTTGCCAATTAAGGGCAGAGGGCTGGAAAGAACCTGTCTTGTCAAGAGAACCTGGACACTGCCTTTAATCTGCCTGCTCCCAGCTTATCCTCTTAAGTGTGTGTGTGTGTGTGTGTGTGTGTGTGTGTGTTTGAAGAGAGAGAGTGACTGACACACTGGATCATGACTCTGTCCAGGACAAGAACGTAAAGCTCGACTCATGGCAGACCTTAGCACAGTGAATCCTCTGCTAACTTGCTAGCCTCTGATACGGTCACAATATTATGAGAGTAGAAATCTGTGGGAATAACAGCCTTCCGGGCAGGATGACGTAGTTTCTGTGAGCCGTTCTTACGAGGAGTGTTCTCTGGTACATGCTGGCTGTGGCAGCACCTCTCTAAGGATGTTCCCTGGATAATGGTATGGTATCTCTGCTGTCACTCGGAGAGAGTAGCACCTCTAGGTGGGTATCAGGCCAGAAAAGGCACCTGCCTTAGAGACAGAAGCAGACGCAGAATAATTTGTGGCCAGTACTTTTCTTCAATGTCAGATACCTTGTAACTGTCGTTCATGGTCACTTCTGGAACAACTATTATTGGAACTGTTTGTTTGAGCTCTGCTCGGTTCAACCTTTTAAGTGGCATTAATAGAGAAGGTAATCTCATCTGATTAGTTTTGTCATTCATTAAAAGAGAAATAAGTAGGAATTTATATTTTTCATTGTTAGACTTATGAGTAGGGCTTGAGATCAAACCTCAAAACGAATTTCTAACAACCAATATGTGCTCGTAGAACATAGAAACTGTCAGGTGCCGAAAGCTTGCATCATATTATTTCTAACTCATGAATAACTGTTTGTGTGGAGCATTAGAGACAGTAGTACTATTGTTGAAAGTTTTCAGTGAACACCCAGCCCTGCTTGTGAGGCATATTTTGGTTTCCAAAAAATCTATATTAGCAGCGTTTGCCTACAGGCCTGTGGCTAAGGAGTCAAACCAACTCTGACGTTCTGCTGGTCTTCTATATCTTAAGGGTGACGGTAGTTTAGGTCTTTAGGCTCTTTTTCCACTAATGCGTTTAAAATCTTTTAGCATTTGGCAGAGAAGACTGTCAAACTCAAATCATTAACATCTGCCATCATAACAAAGAGTGACGCTGATGTAACATCGCTCTACACTGATGTTTGAAGAAGCAAGGAGCGACCCTGACATGGATGGAAGATGTGCAGGAGGCGATCCATAGTCAGGGTAATGAGTTTTATAGATTAGCAGTTAGACGGTAGCACATCTGTCTGCATGTTCAGCATGAAACACAATTATTTAGTTTCCTCCTCGTCTACAAGGACTAATCATGTGTGTATTCAAAAAGCCTGCAGTATCATCCCCCCACTGTTCACTGATATTCAGAGCTTAATACATCTTCTTTTTAGCCTGAGCTTTATTGTTTAGGTGCACAGTGCATGGCCGAGCATGTGCTTGTTTTATGATTTTATTGTGTAGGAAATGATCTTCCTGGTTTTTGTTGCGTTAGCAATGTCCAACTGAGCTTTGAGATGGAAAGTTAGTCATGAGTTTCTAATGCTCTCTCCTGCCTTAGTCTATAAGCCTTAATTATTTATCAGTCTCACATTATTCCCTCCATGTCATCTCCATATAGTCCCCTTTCACGTTCTAAATCATTGATTTCGTACTCGCTGCTCCCTTTTAGTCTGTTTAAGTTAAAACGTCTGAGCCAGGAGTTTAACAGTGGCAGTAAAGGTGATTTAGGTCCTCCCAGTCAGACCAAGGTTGTTATTCTGCACTACATGGACTCAAAACCTGGATGAGAGAGGGACACGCACCACCACAACCACAGTCATCACAATTTGACTGGAACTGTGACCAGTAGCTGCTTATAAGAAGCTTTCAGGAAGGTTTTTTTTAATAGCACTATTGAGAAGCCACAGGCCACTTTCTGCCAGGAAGTGACTGCCATTTGATTTGTGTGTTTGTCTTTTGACACCTGTCATATGAATTGTCTCCACGCCAAAGGCTAGCTCGCTAGCTGCTGAATCCAATTACCTTAAGCTGTGGATTAGCATGCTGAAAGGGGGAGGCTGGTTCAGTGACCCCTGCAGCTTCATATGCTATATTGGTCTGATCGGTATCACTTCGTTACAAGTTGAGTCAATTACATAACCCCGCCTTGAGTTTGCTGTGGTATGATGACCGCTGTTATGTTTACTGTGCTCCCCACTTGATCCCCTTTGTTACCCTATGGTGTGTTGGAGAAGGTTTGAAGATGGACACTGCCATAAGGCTAAACAAGCTGCAAGATAAGACTGAAGATTGACTGTTGAGAGACCGACCAAGCAGTTGGTTATCATGAAGGACACCTTCCACCCGCTTCTGGTCAGGCAGCTAGGACAGACTGATCCCCCTGAGGCGCTCTGCTGAGAGCCACAGGAGGTCCTTTCTTCCTTCAGCTATTATATGATGAGGAGTGTGTCTCAGTGTGGGGCGGTGTCACTGTTGCTGTCCGTACTCCCACACTGCCATAACGGCTCTCCACCCACCAGTCAGAACATTATCACTGTTGCTCACAATGTTGCTGATCTGCACTTAAGCGCCATATTCATTATTCATTTATCATTTTATACATTTCTATGCATTATACTCTGTTACGGTTCTACAAAATGACATTAAATATTATATAATATACTGTTGTATATTGTCCATGAGTCTTTAGCTTAGAAAGGTCAATGTTTTGTATGTTCTTACATTTATACAGCTCTACCTATTATTTTACCTCCAGTGGATCATCTTTATTTATCACTTAACTTCTGCAACTTGCAATAACTTTGATATGATATTGTCTACATATACTTTATTCTACCCACAGTATAGTATACAGTATAAGGCTGCTACCTGCTTGCTATATGTATTACATACTGCATACAGTGCATTTGCATTGGCTACTTGTACTCACCGTGGTTTTAAGCTTATTATGTGTATTGTGGCTCCAGTAGTTTAACTTTCACTTTTTCTTCCTTTATTGAACAACACTGCAAACCTCAGGGAATCAGGGAACTGATCCCTTTTCACAGTGTTGCACGGATTGTATTTTTGACTTTGGTTTCCTCTGTTTCCTGTCCTGCAGTGGAGGAGTCGGACATTATAGACTTGGAGAAGCGCTACTGGCTGCTGAAAGCCCAGTCCAGAACCGGCCGCTTTGACTTGGAAACCTTTGTCCCATTGGTCTCTCCTCCCATCCATGCCTCACTGAGTGAAGGTAAGATAATATTTATAATTGGGAGTGTCAAATAATAAATCTATAAATTAGATGATCGTGGCCCTAAGTAGGTATTTAGACCTTTAAATTCAAGCCCTTAGCAGTGAAAAATAACCCTGTTCAAAACATGTTCATTGTATAATATTATCTGTGTTTGTTGATCTTGTTTTGCAGGCTTGTTTCATGCCTTTGATGAGAATCGGGACAATCACATCGACTTTAAAGAGATCTCTTGTGGACTCTCTGCATGCTGCAGGGGGCCAATCGCTGAGAGGCAGAAATGTAAGCCATGCTGTGGTTTTAAATCAGTACAGATAAATAAATCCCAGAGGCTTCACATAATCACACCAAACTTTTTTATCATGAGATGTGCAGACAGCTTCTTTTTTTGTTGCTGTTATCTGGAGTTAAAATGTAATTTGAAAAGCAAAAATGTTTTTGGAAAGTGTCGATTGGTGCTGTAGGTCACTAGTGCACAATCACTGTTGTCGTCAGAATTTTTATTATTTGAAATTACATTTGCACTGCCACTAATGGAAACATATTGGATTTCCTGCTGATAGTGATCAGCATGGTGTTGGGTTTCTAGGCCGTAGAAACTCGTATTATGCTTCATAACCACATCTGTATTTCACCACCACACTGCTCTCTGTCACTGCCAGTTTGCTTCAAAGTCTTTGATGTGGACCGCGATGGGGTTCTGTCTCGAGATGAACTCCATGAAATGGTGGTGGCCTTGCTGGAGGTGTGGAAGGACAATCGCACAGACACACTTCCTGTAAGTACACACACACACACACACACACACACACACACACACATACACAGAGTATAGATATATATATAGATTGTATGTGGATAAAGTGCCCTGCTCTACAGGTTTATCAAGGATGTAAACATCAAACATTCCTTCATTTAGTACATTGTCTCATTGAAACCTCATGACTCTCTGGTGCTTATTTGTGTCAAACTGACAATGAGTTTGTGTGTGTTGGAAGCATTTCTTGACGAACAACAGTTTATTTATGCGAACAGCACCCTGTCCAGTACCTCTAGCTATAGTAAAAGTTCCCAGATCTGGTTAGTGAGAACAGGTTTTGGTCTCTGTACAATCACAATGGCACCAGTCCCCGCAACCTCAATGTGAAGTGTGATGCGACTGCACATAGTCACTGCACGTGGCCTTGAAGAAATGCTTCCAGCACATAACTCTCTATAAATCTTCACATTCCAATTTTAGCATGTTGGGGGTTATGTGTTTTAAAGTTGTTACCGGGTACTTTTTCCAACCTTGGACAAAGCTAGGCCAGCTCCCCCTTCTCTTCTTCGTAGCTGTAGTCCTTATGCTAAGCTAGGCTAACAATCTAACAATGTCTTGGCTGTATTGACATAAGATTGATATCGATCTCTTCATCTTATTCTCAAAATAAGAGTATTTCTTTAAATGGTAAAGAGAGCCGGCTTGAGCTGATGCCCGATCAAATATATTTATGGTTATGATTTCACGGTTACAGATTATTTACTTACTTATATACTTACAATTTACTCCTCTCACATTTTGTGCTCGGTGTTTGCTACTTTACAGGAGCTGCACAGTAGCGTGTCAGACATAGTGGAGGATATCCTGAAGATGCACGACACGACCAAGGTGAGACTCAAATCTTGGTGACAGAACCAGTATTGATGTAGCTGTCAGGAAGTTAATCCTTTGAACTCTGCCCCGTAATATAATTTGTTTTTATAACCTTGATTCAGAGAAAGTCAACACCACTTTACACTCAACTCCATCTTCAACATGCTTTACATTCACATAGTTGCACATATTTGTCAGTGGGAGCTGCCCAGGACACCTACAGTAACCTTCCAGTCACCTGCTTTCTTGTCTTACTTCTAAGCTATTTTCACCCACAATAACCATAATAGATGAGTAGATTTTCTTCCATCCTTTTCAAGGTCTCAAAGCAGTGTATATTTTGCGAATAGTGAATCTGAGTATGCTGACATTTCTGTTTGTTGACTCCTCACCAGCTGGGTCACCTGACCCTGGAGGACTACCAGATCTGGAGTGTGAAGAGCGCTTTAGCCAATGAGTTCTTAAACCTGCTTTTCCAGGTCAGTACATCCACATACTAGCGTTGTATAACTTGTATTAGTGTTGAAATTGAGATACAGTATTTATTCATGTATTTATTCATCATCATTTTCTGCGTGTTTTGCATATCTTTGTGTATTTGTCTTGGTCCAGGTCTGCCACATAGTCCTGGGGCTCAGGCCTGGTACTCCTGGGGAGGAGGGACAAATCATCAGGTACATACCTGTCCTCTTTATCTGTCATGTCAATGTGTACAACTTTTGAGTAATACACGGTTTGACTGAATGAATGTTTTCTATTGTATTTATGTCTTTCTTTCTGTCTGTGGGTGTATAGGGGCTGGTTAGAGAGGGAGAGCAGACATGGGCTGCAGCCAGGCCAGAACTGGTTTCTCATCTCCATGTTGTGGTGGCAGCAGTGGAAGGACTATGTTAAATACGTAAGTCAAGTTAACAAAGGCAAAATGTGTGGTAATGCGCTGATATTAATACTACATAACCTTTTTAAACAGGCATTGTCTAAATAATGTCATAGCCAGTGTTGCCTTACATGAGTTGTTGTAAAGGACCGTTCACAAGTGCTTAGTGTTTCATTACAGGGATATAGAAAAATACGGGTCGTTGCTAGACAATTTGAAAACAAGTCTCATAGTGTAAATATCAGGTATGTATTATCGGACAGGGTTGTCACTTAAGTTACTAAACCTTTTGGTAGAAAGAAGTATATATTTCTTATCCTGATATTCCAGCTGAGTTGCCATTTAGTTTTATTTTCATCATTCAGTCTGATGATGTGTTCATGTTAGACATTTCCTGTTTGGCAGGGTGTGTTATTTTACAGTAACCGATCTATAATGACACCATTTTCAGTCAACACTGAAGTGGTTAGTGGCAGCTGTTGCTAGGAGAAGTTAATGGTTGTCATGTTAAATTATTTACGAGTTGTTGTTTTGACGTGACTGTACTGGCACTTGTCGCCATTTTGGGGGGTCAGTTTTTCTGCCCATCTATCCTGGCTCTGTGACGACTCTGTTCATTTACCAACTGGTGAAGCAGCACAACAGTAGATCTATTGGAATCACTGTAAAAATCTGAAATTTGGTTTGCAGTTTAGAGGTCTCCGAACCAGGGTAAATAATTAAGAAAATGTAGCCTAGTTCTGAGTATATGATAATCATTTTAATTTGACATTTCTTATTTCTTCTGACTTTGTATTTCTTTCACAATGTACAACCACATCATTTTGTGCAGTTTGTGCACATGCAAGTTTATCGGACCAGGTTTAGCACTGCATCTTGCACAGTAACATCACACTGGGACAGAAGCATGGACTGTCATGAAAGCAAGCACCACATTAATCTCAGGTATCACTTTAAACAATGACAGGGCAGTCCCTGCTGTTATCTTCCTGTCCAGGAGCATAAGGGCATCGTGGTGGAGCAGCCGTCCATCCTGAGCTCATTGCGAACCCCGATGGCCACAGCCACTGTGGAGCCCACCCCGCCAGACAAACTGGGAGGACTGGGAACCTTCAGCCCAGTCAGCCCCACTGAGGAGAGGTCACCTGATGCTGTGTCCAGCGCCTCAGAGGCTACAGAGATTGGTCAGTGAACACACTGCACATACAGTAGATAGCATAGAAAAACAAAACTACATGCATAACATACACATCTTCAGTGTCCACACCAGTTTAATAAAGTTTTTGCTGTGAATTCAAAAGTTTCTTTCCAAGTACTCTGCCTAAATAAAAAAAGAAAGTCAGAGCAGCACATTGATGAGCCTGACATTAAAATGATAGAATCAGCAACCCATCAACCAAGTGATAGGGTAGGGTGAACAACAAAGTTTATTTTAGCTCCATGGATAGAGTTGTTAACCATTTTTTTATTTAGGATACAGTCTAATGTAGTATTTTGTTGTGGCTTTACATTGGTGAACTATTCAGCACTTATATCGGAATCTTTACAAACTAGTCCAAACTAATGGAAAACACCTTAGGCCAGTTGAAGAAATCATCACAACTTGACAGTAGAGTAAATTGTAAAACTTTCTCTTCATGTTTCTGTGTGATTTCAGTTTTTTCCTCCCTGTATGTGTTTTGCCTGGTTGCTGCCTCTCATCCCTTCACTGGCTTTCCCTTCTGTCCCAGCAGCCCTGAGCCCCCAGGTAGCTCCCTCTGCCACAGAGAGCTGTTTTGCCCGTCAGCACAATGTATCGGACAACAACAATCAGTGTTTTTCTGGAGCCAACGGCCACCTCCCCTCCCAGCTGGCAGCACAAAGACCTGGAGCCATCGACAACCAGCCCCTGGTCACCACTGACCTCATGAAGGCAAGTGTGTGTGTGTGTGTGTTTGCTGCCTTGTTTATTTTGTTTATGAGCAGTACCAAGTCAGTTGAACGACATGTGTAGCAGACTGCCTCACACAGTCTGTCCATCTTATTGACAGTACATAGGTGTTCATATTTAAAACCACTGTCATTTTGGTCATGGTTACATCTGTCTTTGATGCAGCTCCAAATTGTATTTTGAATCCAGTAAGCCAGTTTACATTGCAGTGTGGTCGGGCCGAAATTGTAATTGGACGCAGGTCAGGCGCGAACATACAAGAGTTGTAAATCATCAATGTATAATTGAAGTCAATTAATATTGGAATTGTAAACAAAAGTAGCTATAAAGAAACAATGAATGCAGTCTTTAGTAAATGAAATGGTCTCAAATTTATGGATTTGATGGTTAGCCTAGCTTAGCTTAAAGACTGGAAACAGGTGAAAGCAGCTCATCTGGCGCTGTTCAAAGATCAAAAATACCCCACTACCACAACCCACACATTAATAAAAAGGTAAAAGTCCCAATTATGTGATTGTATAGATCTAGAACTATTTCTTGTTGGAACAGCTAACAGGCTAATTTTTTCCACTTGCCTCCTGTCTTGATGCTAAGCTAATCTAGCTGCACAGATAGCCTCATTATGAGAGAGAAAGCAAATAAGTGTATTTTACAAAATAGTGCTTTAATATTAGAGAACGCTAATATGATTTGAGAGAAATTAGAATGTTTAAGAAGCACAGGGTTAATATAAAAAAACATTGTAGTTTTTGGAACATTTGTAGTGATGTGAATGAAAATGTTTTTTTTATATATATAATTTGATGACAGACAAAACTATAAAATCAAACATAGAATTTTGGCATTAGTGTGTTTTTAATGTATTGTAATAAGCTGGAGCTTCAGCCTCGACCTTGTCAGTCAGTAAACAGGAAGCTTTTTGTGTTGTGTTTGGAGCAGTTTGTGTTATTATTTGCGGACCGGAGTTATTTCTGTTTCAGTTCCAATCATCACAACCTGGTGGTAACATCAGAAAAGCCACTTGCCACAGTCGGGAGGTGATGATGTAGCATGGATTATACATCATGTTCACAGCTTTGCTTTGGTGTATGTTTGACATATGAGAACAGTGAAGCTACTTAGGGAAAACTCAAATATCAGTACAATCCCTCTGGCTTTGCTTTCTGAACCAAGCCCCTCTGTTCACAGCAATCAGCTGTTCTACAAAGCCATGCTTTTAAAAGATAGATATGATCTAGACCTTTTGAAAGACCGTTAAAGCAACTTTCATAGCTTGTTCATCTTTAAAACTTTGGCAATCTTTAGCACATCTAAAACAAGACAAACAGTGTGTTAGAAGAATATTTTTGCCAGCTTATTCTTTGGTTTGACAGAAGAAATGATCTGAGGTTCCCAATTAGGAGGCACTCCTCCTCTGCTGGCAAAGGCACCCAGGGACCAGATGGTGCTTCCTTTTCCTTTTGTCTTATCTCTACATTTTGCTGTAATGATAGCAGGCTGCCAGCCTCTGCATAGCATTAGGCCACTGTCTCTGTCTATTATCTGTAATTCAAGTAGGCAGAATAGTGTCTTTGGTGTATGTATTTAAATGCTGATATCTGTGTTGTGCCCCTGCAGGCCCCTACGTTAACCATGGAGGGTGGCAGACTGAAGCGCTCCTTGCAGCTGGCACCTGGTAGAGACTTTGAGACGGTGCCAGAGCCGGTGTGGCGGGCGCTCTACCACTGGTACGGTGCCAACCTCAGCCTGCCGCGTCCGGTGAGTGAATACAGCACACCCACTCAACAACTAATGAACCTCACTATCACTTTGATGCGCCAAATATTAACATCACAGTATACTCGGCAGAGCTGTAGACTTGAGACTTGAACAACTCAGACTTAAAGGATAATATTTGATTTTTTTTTACAACTAAGGTCTTATTTTTAAAGAATTTTCATACACAGTTCAACAGGACAAGAAACACAAGCGGCCAGGCGATCAGAGAGGTTTAATGGAAGCCAGCAGTTTATTAAGAGATTATCTAAACTACTTTATTTGGAACTGAAAGTCAGTACAAATCCTTCATTGCACAGGCAGTGTGGCAAGTGTGTGTGAGCACAACCACAGTAAGTACAGTAGGTCAGCGTTGAATCAGAAAGTCTGTCTGTAAATTGAGATATTTTTTTCACAACGAATGGTTTGAGTTATAAGTTTACCCTCCGCCTGAGTTTTATCCTCTAAATAACTTTGACTAAGATGGAGGTTTGTTTACAGACTGTCTGACTGCTCGTCTTTGTTGAGCTGTCAACTTGTTTTCAGTGATGCCATGCTCCAGTTTCTCAGTAATTACCCTGGCAATTTTATCAACCTTATTACCAGTTGGAAAGATGTAAACTATGAAATTTAAGACTTGGCCTGTTTGTGACCTGTAAATCCCTGAAAACTATATATCGATATGACAGTTACAGGCATGCCTTGCACATACTTTGAATGTTTAATTTAAAGGCCTACGCGTTGATGTTAGTTCAATAAAACATTGAAAGGAAAATGTTCCAAAGCTTTGTCATGATAATTGCAGCATTCAGGGAGCTGACCATTGCCCCTACATTATAGTCCACAGAATAGTATAGCAGTAAATGATCAATAGTGAGAGGTCGAGCCATTTCTTTCTCTATAGAAAGAGTGAAGTGCCACTTATCAAAGACAACCAAGTTGTTGACAGAAAAAAATGTTTTAACCTAAGCTACAGGACTGAAAGCAACCTTACAGACAAGAGCGAGACGAACCCTGGTCATAGGTTTCTGGAATGATCCATTCATGAAAAGGCGGAGACTTGAAATGTTCCCTTCCACCCATGCAGGTTATCCTGGAGAGCAAGACAGGCCAAGCAGAGCTCGAGCTCTTCCCCCGCTACCTCCTGTTCCTCCGTCAGCAGCCTGCTACACGCTCCCCCCAGTCCAACATCTGGGTCAATATGGGTATGACCAGCCTGCGAATGTTCCCGCCATATTTGCCCCCACAAAGAGGTAACATAAGCCTGCAGCAAGACCAGAGCAAGCCGTCGACAAATGCTTCATTGAGCTACCCCGCATCCCCCTTTTTAATCCTCCTGGAGTGGGCTGATCCAGCCCTGGCAGTGCTCTGGAGTGGGCAGTGGGATGAATGAAAGGGGAAAGCCTGCTGATCGCTCTAAAAGCTGTCGAACCTTTCCAGTCTTCACAGACCATGCCATTCAAGTATTAGTTTTGATGACACTTGTTCTAGTGCTCTACATTCATCTGTATTATTACTATGCTGTATCAAAGCAAAGTGTCAAAAGGAAACAGTATTTTAAAGAGTCTGGGATGGACTGTGACAGGAAATGGACCAAATTTTAATCTTGCTCCATTTCTCCACTCAGAACTTTCTGATCAACACACAGAAAAGAAATTCAGGAAACAAAATCACCACGGTTGAGAAAAGCAAACAAAATGAAAGTCCACTGGCTGGCCCCTTTTACACCTGGTTTAAAATGCATTACTATGAGAAGCTGCAAGTCAAAACACTACAGGTAGAAATTCCATGCTGCAGGTGGAAATGTCAGAGCCAGTGGAAACATTGTTTCCCTGAGCAGGGATGTCATCACAGCGGGAAGAGATGTCTCCACTGTGGATAAAAATATGATGAGCCCTTCAACCCTTTTATATGTAATAGCCTTTATATAATAGCCACCATTAATGTCAGTTGTCCTTCACAGAGATGTAGAACAGGAAGCTTTACTAATGTAGAAATTCCACCAAAGTCGATGGGCCCAGATGAATGCATCTGTATGAACTCAGATCCGATCCTTGCTTGTGCAGTTCCATGTTCAAGCCGGCTAGCTTGAATACCTTTTTCTGTTTTTCCCAAAACATGTGCTTTTGGTCATACGTCAATCTGCCTGTATCCAGCTAAGAGACAGATGACACTTGGAAATACATGTTCCTTCCTTTTGAAATGCATTTAAATCAATTCAGGTCTAATGTGCTAACAAAGGAAATCCTATACATAGCACCACTCACTCACACAATAATTGAAGCAGGATTTCACTCCAGTGTTTATTATCCCTTTGATATAATGGACAAGTATAAACTGAAAATGCCTCACTGCAAAAAGAAAGTAGATCAAGGAGATGTACACAGTTGCTCCAGTGTAATCAGGTTGGGCATGACATCAGCACTCAGCATGAGAGCGCTGGTCCAAATCAAGTCAGCGTGTCAGGTTTCAGGCCACAGCACACACCTGAGTCCCCAGTGGGGGCTTGGCTTCCATCATGACTCATACTGTGTCTGAGCAGCCGTGTGTCATTGCTGGGCATTGAAACCCTCTCTCAAGCATGTGGCCAAATCATTTAAAATGGATCTAATTATGCATCTTATTCCATCTAATGTCTTCCTGACAGCCTAAGGCAATGGTAGAGCACTCGAACAAGTGTAGAGGATGTTTCAGTATAATTGAATAGCAAAGCTGTGTAGATAGGGGGGGAAAAAATAACTTTTGAAAATCAAATATTAAAATCCGTAGTTTTATCAATCATTTTCAAATCAGTTTTTAAATTTATTTAACAGGACTAATACCGATTGGTTTGTATTTGATTTAAAGGTGGGGTAAGTGATTCTGGAGAAATCCAACACCATGACAAATACCATGATATAAAGCAAACAACAACACAGCAAGTAATGTAACTAACGATAGCTAAGTTGTGGGTTCGCGAACTGTCACTACAGCTGCTGCTGTTAAGCTAACATGCAGAGACGGCCCCAGAGCCAGCACACCAGCTCCAGACAGCGATACTCACAATTTTCCTGCTACTATAGCTGACATCACAACAACCGCGTATCTTGGCAAGCTAGAAAGTAAGACAGAGCCAGGGCTGTGTACAAACGCATACACATACATGAGGAGATACACTGTATTTAACAAAAAGACGTGTATTGGATTAGAATTGCTTACCCGACCTTTAATCCAATCTGAGTCCACTAAATCCTCTAAGTTGATTGACCAATCACGTTTGCGCTGATTGACAAAAAAAACCCCTTTCTTGCTGCTTCCTTACAACTAATCCTCAGTCACCAGAATGCTGTTGTTGGTATTGATGAGTTGTTTGCATCTGGGGGCTTGGGTATAACCGAAAGAAGAAATGTCAGTTGAAGTCCTTCCAGCTGAGGAAAAACCAGAACAAACATGCACCAAATTTAAAAAAAAAAAAAAAAAAAAAAGAGGGAGTGAGTGTGTTCAGACTGTGTGTTTGTGCCAGTTAGTGAATGTTTCTGTTCTCTTTGTGCACCTTAGCAGGTAATGTGCCATCCCCCAACGCTCCTCTGAAGAGGATGTTGGCTTACACAGGCTGCTTCAGCCGCATGGGAACCATTAAGGACATCCACCTCTACCTGTCTCAGAGACTACGCATCAAGGAGGAGGACATGAGACTGTGGCTCTACAACAGTGAGGTGGGCCGCAAAGCTGTCACAAGAGCCCTCGCTACTTTTATACATTATGAAATATCAGATATTGGTCAGCCAGTAACAAAGTCTTCATAAGGATGAAGGTAGAGGATAATGTTGGGAGGGGGTTCACTATAACACCAAAACTTTTTATGATGTTTTAATCTAGTCATGGATTTACTTTTATTTTCCATCCATTTTCCAGATGTATTGAAACTATTCAACAGTGTCAGCCTAGAAATTAAGAGACCACTACCACCTCAACAACTACAACCCCCAGGATTTCTGTATATTTATTTTGAAATGGGAACCACAAAATGACAGAGTGAAGTTCCCCCTAGGACTTTTTTGGGGCTTTTGGAGATCAGGGACTCTGGGACAGTTTCCTGCTTTGCTCAGTTGATAATCCAGCCTAAGGTCTAAATGCTGTTTGAAACATGTCCAACCACAATGAAGACCTTTTACATGAGGAAAAAATACCTGTTATAAAAGGTTACAGATTTAAAGATCAATCAGCTAGTGGCAAGCTGAGTCCAAAAACATCTGTATCACTATTAACAATTGAACATCGGCTTGTTGGCAATTAAAGAAATTATGTCTCCCGGCCAAAATGGGCAAACTCCAGGTGCTCCAAAAGCCCCAGGCGTATTGTGTGTCAGCTGTTTTGTGCTGTTTTAATTGCAAAATGTATTTAGCAGTATATACCAACAAGTCACAATATCAGCTGGTGGCCTTAAGGGGGGGGTGGGGGTCTCACATCTTGAGGCCCTATCTTTAAACTGGTCCTTGTCAAAATGTAGTTTCAAGACCTTCATAATTTTTTGTGCTTACATGATATGTATTCCTCAATGAAATGACCGCACAGCAAACCTCAGTCCTGGCAGGGTCTACCTTATTTTTTTTAGGGCCCCTAACGGGGTGAATGTCTAATGTTACTTTTAAAATGAACTGAAGCTAAGGAAAGAACATCTGAGTCACAAATCCATAGTCCTAATAAATGTAAAGTTATAAAGCCGTTGGATGAACCACACTGAGTTTCAGCATGTTTTCTCCTCTCTGTGTCCTGCAGAACTACCTCACCCTCCTGGACGATGAAGATCACACACTGGAAAGCCTGAAGATCCAGGATGAGCAGCAATTAGTGATTGAAGGTACCGCCACCACTTTTTCTTCTTAACATTTGTCTCCAGAATCAACAATGCTCTCTTCAAAAAGAAGATATACAGATATTATCATTGACCACCGGTCCTTCTGACTAATGGCACATGAAAGCTGAAGTGAAATGGTTTAATCACAGAAATCCTTTCTCTTCCTCCACAGTCAGGAACAAAGACATGAGCTGGCCTGAGGAGATGTCTTTCATTGCCAACAGTAGTAAGATGGACAGACACAAAGGTAAGTGGGAAGACGCTGGATGAGCGATTTGTACAGCGGCAGACTGGTAGTTCAAGTCCAAAAAACCCGTTCTCATTGGTAGACGTTACACAAACATTACATTTGATGGCAAATCTTTCAACACATCACATCTATTCATTGTGCTGTATACAGTAGGAGGCAAATGGCATCATTCATTGAATGATTGTCAATAAAAGGCTCCAACAAAATATAGTGATTTAAATGTATTCTGGGTAATAGGTAATTGTAATGACAGTAGTCAGGGCCAGAGTGATGGATCTTTTGTAATTTATTTGTAGCTTTGGCAATAATGTTGTTTTCCATTCATGCCAATAAAGCTGAATTGAATTGATAGGAAGACCGGGAGTCTTTTGAGCACCTCTGTTTCTGACCTTACTGATATAGTACAGCACTCAGCAGTGCTAGTATGCTGCCTACTAACAACTTGAAATACCTTATGTGGATGTTTTATGGTTTGGTAAAACAAAATAATCTTGTGCATATTATTTTCTGCAGAAATTTGCAGACCTCTTCTGGTCATTAGTGCTAAAGAAGGCCCGCTATGCTCATTAAGTGTTTTTTCTTCAGCTGAGTAATACTTTAAATCTGACAAGTATGTCCTTGTTTTCCATCCCAGTTCCTACAGAGAAAGGAGCCACTGGCCTCAGTAACCTTGGAAACACCTGCTTCATGAACTCCAGTATCCAGTGTGTGAGCAACACCAAGCCTCTCACAGACTACTTCATCTCAGGAAGACACCTTTATGAGCTCAACAGGTGCCGTTTAAGTGCATCACTTTGGCATAAATCTGGCCACCATTGTTCCCGACCCTTACCATTTTAACTGGCCTGTGTTGGTGCGTTTACAGAACCAATCCTATCGGGATGCGAGGTCACATGGCCAAATGTTACGGTGACCTGGTGATGGAGCTTTGGAGCGGGACACAGAAGAACGTGGCTCCGCTCAAGCTCAGGGTAAAGGGGCTGTTTCATTCCTGTCTGCTCATGAAAGATATTAGTGTGTTTGTAGTTTCTCAGTCTGCCATGCAAACTGAGACTTTAGTAAGCTTTAGTGTAGCATCTGTTTTAATAATAGATATAATAATTTTTTTGATCCCCTTTCTGGGAGCTGAATCACTATTTTTGGTGTTTATGCTACTGGAGCACTTTTGCAAAGAAATACAATTTATGATATTATTACTTTTTCTCCAGTGGACAATAGCAAAGTACGCCCCGCGCTTTAATGGCTTCCAGCAGCAGGACTCCCAGGAGCTGCTAGCCTTCCTGCTGGACGGCCTCCATGAAGATCTAAACAGAGTCCACGAGAAACCCTACGTGGAGCTGAAGGACAGCGATGGCCGGCCTGACTGGGAAGTGGCCTCTGAGGTCAGAGATCACACTGCTGGTCAAATACTGTTATCTACAAATAAAATTAATACCATACACCTCGCTCTGGCATAATGGTCTAAGACGGAGGTTTTCAAACAGTGAGGGAGATTTGAAGGTGGGGAGGAAGAATAAAAACTTACAAAAGTTAAAAAGTTAAAGTTGTAGCCCACAGCTAACTATCTGACTCATTATACTTCCTGTTTACATTCCCCAAACACCCCAAATTACTTGAACTGTAGTTCCAAAACAACATAGCATCATTATGATCCCAAATTAAAGTAAGACAAATAATAAGATTAGGTGTTACAAAAATCAATTTGTTCATGTTGCATTATCAATAGTTTTGACAGTACTAAGGCTCAGAATGTCCCATCAGCATTGTAGTTATATTCCTGGAACGCTGATAATGACTAATCTAAGGGCCTCTATTGTTCGGATGTGTATTTACCATTTACATTATTTATGAATTTATTTGAATTTATTTAACAACCATAAAAACTCAGCCTCGTCCAGACTGTGGTGATGTGGTTTCAGATGAGATTGACAGCAGGTGGCAACATAAGCACACAATCCGACAACTGTAATCACATTTTGATTCACATGTTAAGTCTTAATCGGTGCTCAGATGTATATTAGATCATTTTTTTCCCCGACTGAGCCCGCCCACTTCAAACCTGTAAAAATAGCACAGTCAAAACACAAATACAGGAACCATCTCATGTTAAATAACCAAAATTGTTCAAACTGTGGCAGAAAATGTGTTGGTGTAGTATCCTGTGGAGAGGATGAAGTCAATATCAGGGAACATATTCATGTATATTCAGCTTCAGAATGAACAGATTGTCCATTTGACTTTAATGGCAAGCGATG